GTCAACCTTGAGCCGGTGAGATTAGAACCGCCGAACTGCAGATAGCAGTCAGCTGAAGTGGCCTGCAGTGCTGCACCCTAACCACTGCGCCACCTTGGCTCCTGGTTCACAATATGCAAATATAGTTGCCCATCTGGCTGAGCTGCAGTGGTAGAAACAGAAAGGGGACTTTCACTCTGGCCTTTGACCTTGACAAAAGCTCTGTTCTAAATACAAGCACACCGGAAGCGTTCTGGGGTTCACAAACCAAGTAAGGGAAGCAGGGAAGAGATGGGATGGGTTCCTGGAGATGCCAGGGACAGTAGCTAGCCTTCCCGCAGGAGGCAAGTTCGACGCTAGCTACCGTATTTTTCGGACTATAAGACACACCAGTGTATACGACGCACCAAGATTTCGAAGAGGTAAGTAAGAAAAAAAGTTTTTGCCTTCCCTCAGCACCCAGCAGCCCTCTGCAGGCTTCAGCAGGGCTGGGGCAAGGCAAAAAAGCCTCAGTTATTGTAAATAAAATGGCCCCTTTTTCACAAAAATGGGATGTGAGGGCGGGGCTTTGGGAGGCCCAAAATGGCTGTATTCTGTCTATAAGACGCACCAACATTTCCATGTTCTTTTAGGGGGGGAAAGGTGCATCTTATACTCCGAAAAATCCGGTACCTCCTCTTCTCTGGGCAAAAGAAGCTGCCTCTGGAATTACCGTCATGAAGAGAGCTGAAGATGCTTCGCTGTCAATGTCGCTATCCTCTGATGTCTCCGACTCATCACTGCTGTCTGCAAAGCAGAGTCAAGAAATTTTATTTATTTATTTATTATTAAAATTTATAGGCCGCCCAATCCCGAAGGACCCTGGGCGGCTTACAAAATTAAAAAGAGAGAAAAAGAAAATAAAAGGACAATATAAAAATTACAGAGCACATGCATTCAGTCTAATCGGGGCTGGACCTCAAACAATGAGGTCAACAGCCCCGGGCCTGCCGGAACAGCCAGGTTTTAACAGCTCTCCTGAAGGCCATGAGGGTGGGTAAGGTCTGGATCTCTGGGGGTAGTTCGTTCCAGAGGGTTGGAGCAGCCACAGAGAAGGCTCTCCTCCGAGGCCTCGCCAGCCAACACTGTCTGGCTGACGGCATCTGAAGGAGGCCCAAACTGTGGGATCTTACCGGCCGTTGGGAGGTATATGGAAGTAGGTGGTCTCGCAGGTATGCTGGTCCTAAGCCATGAAGGGCTTTAAAGGTAATAACCAACACCTTGAATTGCGTCCGGAGACTAATCGGTAGCCAGTGCAGCTTGTGGAGGACAGGTGTAACGTGGGTGTACCTCGGTACACCCAATATCGCTTGTGCGGCCGCATTCTGAACTAGCTGTAGTCTCTGAACGCTTTTCAAGAGTAGCCCCATGTAGAGCGCGTTGCAATAATCCAGCGGGAGCTTTCTCTCCTATCTTCAAGGCCATCAGCCACATTGACATGAGGGTGCTGAGCTGCTGGTGGCTCCTCAAGTCCGTCTCAAGAAACTCTCAAAGCGGCTGCAAAACTGCCGTGCTCCAAAATATTCCAACTTTTCCTCAAGCTCACAAGAACAGAGAAACCACCCGGTTTCTGCTCCCAACTCCCAAATCAAAGGTCGCTGGAGGTTTATTTCCGTGGCCCTGTGTGGTAAGAAGAGTTGAATTCCACAAGAAAAAAACAGGATTTGGCAGCTGATATAAAATCAGGCAATTTTTTAAAAAAAACTGACTGCCACAATTTGCTCTACCCTTTGGAACGAGCTACCCCCAGAGATCCGGACCATACCCACTCTCANCCCGGAGTCCTTCGGGAGTGGGCGGCATACAAGACCAATAAAACTAAACTAAACTACTCATCTTAAAATTGCTGCGGTTAAGCCAGATAAAATGAGTGCTGTTTTCACATGGATGAAAAGTTTCAGGACCTTTTTTTCTTTAAAGCCATTGAAAGAGAATGGCTAAATAAACCATGATTCTATGCTTGAATAAACCCCTGAGCTTCAGGATAGGACAGGACCAAATGTCTAATATTTCCAATGTCAAAGTAACCATGCTCGAAAAACAAAATGAAATCTACAGCTAGGCGGCTTTGATTGTCAACAATCAAAGCCCTCTCAAAGTTCACATATTGTGGGTTGCTGTTTTTATTATCCCATCCTAGGAGTATCAACCTTTGTAATAAATGAAGGAAAAAATGATATTTTTTTCCTAAGACAACAATGACTTATTTCACTGAGGGTGAAAATGGGGAAAAAAAAGAAAGAAAAAGAACCTGACTCTCTAAGACTAGAGAATGCAAAATAAAAATTAGCCTTAACATTAAATATCGTTTTAACAAGATCTGGTATTTAATGGGAGGTTTCTACAAGACACTTGTGCCTCTAGATCACACCGAAATCTCATAATGCAGAAGTCTCAATAATTTTCAAATTGCACTTTCCAGTTTCACTTCTTAAATAAAACACACATTTGTAAGTCTGTCTGTCTACCTATCTACCTATCTACCTATCTACCTATCTACTTATCTATCTACCTACCTACCTACCTATGTATCCATCTATATATCTCTTTTTTTAAAAAAAATCTCTTGCATTATGGTTTAAATATCGAATATAGTCTTCAAAATATATTGCTTTAAAAAACTTTCCCCCTATCCACTTAAGGCTCACTTTTTTTTTTAATATTTACTTGATATATTATTCAAGGCCCTACAAAATAGATAATTCTGGAGTGCAGGACTTAACTAAAAAAAAAATAACCTTCATAGCACAAACGCAGCGAAAATAAAACGGCTAAAAAGGAAAGAAAGAAAGAAAGAAAGAAAGAAAGAAAGAAAGAAAGAAAGAAAGAAAGAAAGAAAGAAAGAAAGACTCTACAACGGAATATAAACTTGTAAGGGGAAGCACAGCTTTCAAAAACCAGCCATGTTAGAAATGTAGGAATTCGCATCGCGTTTTTTTTTCTCTTCCTTTCTTTAAAATAAAAACACCCCAAAAACCCGATAGGCCTACAAAGTTAGTAAAAACTTCATCTGTATAAAAGGATTTCAAACATGATGCTGTATCGGTGAGAAACTTCACGTTCAGATTTTTATCCTCCGTTTACTGACATCCAAGCATGAAATTCTACAGTAGGTTTTTCTTCATAAATAGTAAAATGTTCCTTCAGCTTCGACCAGCCGTGACACCCCCATCCCACCCCTTGGCCAGCAAGTCTCAGTAGGTTTGATAGACATCATGGATGGGGATTTGAATGGCGGTAGCTGGAAATGCTTGCGGGATGTACCCCGCGTATCCTCCATAAGCTGCGGCGGCGGCAGCCGCGTTCTTCTGTAGTGTGGCAATTGTGGTGGCAGGAGCCGCGAAGGGAATGTAGCCTGCGCCGTAGATTCCCGCGGCTGGAATTCTCTGCATACTAGGTGCCATGGCGTACACGGGAGTTATCGGACGGCCCTGCCGGAGAGAGCATTCAAGAGTTCAATCCCGCCACCACCTGTAAAGGAACTAGATTTCCCCTAAGGGTGTCAGAAAACCAAGGTTCGATCCCAGGGAGAGGCAGATATTTCTCTCTCTGGGCACAATTGAGAATATATCTGCTGAACAAAACTCCACATTGGCAACAGGAAGGGCATCTGGTCAAATAAACATTCTGCTAGCTCCACTTAGTTGCCCAGGCTCCACCCTGCAAGGGATTATCATGTTGTTAAAAGAACATGATGACAGAAAACCAAGGTGGCAGCCATAACAAAATGGTAAAACCTCCAATTGTAGTTTCTATATTCAAATATCTGCCTACTACTGTGTTTCCCTGAAAATAAGACAGGGTCTTGCCCCTCCGAAATAAGCACTTGGCCTTATTTTCGGGGAGGGCTTATTATTTTTGAGGTGGAGACGGCGAGCATGGTCACTTCATGGATGCTGCTGTGTTGCAATATTTTCTGTGAGGGCTTATTTTCAAGGGAGGGCTTATTTTCAAGGGAGGGCTTATTTTCAAGGGAGGGCTTATTTTCAAGGGAGGGCTTATTTTAGCACATGTGCTCAAAAGCCCAATTGGTCTTATTAACTGGGGAGGTCTTATTTTCAGGGAAACAGGGTACAGGTAGACCTGGTCCTACAATGATTCATTTAGTGACCATCCAAAGTTACAACGGCAGTGAAGAAAGTGCCTTGTGGCCAGTTTTCACCCTTAAGCGCCGTTGCAGTTATCCGCATGGTCCCATGATTAAAATTTGGATGTTTGGCAACGGGCTCATATTTACGACGGTCGTAGTGTCCCCTTTTTACAACCTTCTGACCAGCAAAGTCAAAAGGGATGTCAGGTTGCGCTTCACAGCCGGGTGAACAATTTAACAACGGCCGTGATTCACTTAACAAATGCAGCAAGGAAAGCTGTAAAATGAGGCCCAATTCACTTAACAAATTTCTCACTTAGCAACATAAACGTTGGACCCCACTGTGGTTGTAAGTCGAGGACTACCTGTATTTGCAAGGCAAGAGATCTCCTTCTCTTAATACGAGCCGGTGTTCTCTTACTCGCAGGAATAGAAAGGGCTGGTGTTTCTACACCTTCTTGAAAGGCTTAAGAAAACATACCTGGAAAGGAGGCGGGGTGGACACCGCAGGTATGACAGCACCTGTTGCCACTGCAGCGGCCGCGGCGGCGCTGGCTGGATCCTGCTGGACGCTGATAGGACTGATGATATGTTCCATTGCATGGATCTTCCCATCGTCGATCACCTTGGTGGCTGGTGTGGCTTGGAACATGGAATATTGGGTTCCAATGGTTGGAATTGCCACTGCAACAGATCAAGGAGGTCAGGTGGGGATGGGCCTTAACATATCAGCTTTCAATCTACAGCGGAAGTCCACCTTGGAAGGTCTCCTGCCCTGGAATCAAGCTTTAGTGATCAGGTCAAGGTCCTTTTGGGGTCGATGTGATGCAAGAATCATTCTGGACCCTCTCTTCGGCGCAAGTAATAAATCTTCTGCTAGGCGCACTCCAGTGGTGGGTTCCAGATCCCGTTGCAACTGGTACGGTGCAAAAAATGATCCCCCAGCCCTGTTTTTAACCCCCCCCCACACACACACNTATCTATCTATCTATCTATCTATCTATCTATCTATCTATCTATCTATCTATCTATCTATCTATCTATCTATCTATCGGATTGTTGGGGGTGATATATGCTGACTCTGTAAACTGCTTAGAGAGGGCTGAAAGCCCTATGAAGCAGTATAGAAGTCTAACTGCTATTGCTAATTGAATATTTTAAAAGAAAGAATTTAAAAAAATTAAATCTAATAATTAAAAATATATATAACACAACTGTAGTTTGCAAATAAGGGCTTCTTCAAAATTCAATAGCTTTAAAATTAAATAATTTTAAAAATAAATTGAAAGTTAAATATTTTTAAATGAAGTAATTGAATATTTTAAAAGAAAAAATAAAAGAATTAAAATCAAATAATTAATTTTTTTATAATACTTAGTATTATAATTTTATAATACACATTGAAATGAATCACAAAAATGCTTTCAATGAAAGAATGGATTTTTAAAGGAAATTGTTGAATATTTTTAAAGGACACACTTAAAAATTTTCAAATTATTAAGGAAATAATTAAATGTTTTTGAATCAAATAATTAAATATTTAAACTACATATTTTAAATTAAACATTTTAACAAACGAATGAAATATTTTTAACTGAAATATTTCGATTAAAGAATGAAATGTGTATGAAATAACTGCTAGAATTAATTACATTAAATGCACACAAGGAAAAAACAAACACCAAACTATTAAGAGGGGGAAGAAAGTTGAGAAAACCCCAAAACCCCAAAAACTAAGACTTGATTTACAGGCATGCCCTTATCAATAAACTGGGACCACGATTTATTGCAGTCATCCAAAACTCATCAAGGTTTAACCAATTCTGTGAACATCTGTCCTTCCAAGGCTGGCCAGTAAATCTTTGAACTCAAGTCCATTTCCTTTAACCAGAAGTTAAAAGACTTTAATTTTTACAAACAACGTTTTCCCATTTAGCGGGCTTAGCCACAGTTAAAGCATGACTTAGCCATCTTGGTTTGCAGCCACGAGGCCTCTCCTATCTTACCTCGGCCTCCTTTTAGCAGTAGCAATAGCAATAGCAGTTAGACTTATATACCGCTTCATAGGGCTTCCAGCCCTCTCTAAGCGGTTTACAGAGTCAGCATATCGCCCCCAAC